CTACTATCTACAATTCACAAAGTTTATTCTAGTAAAAATTCAAGTTAATTGTTGATACTCGAATTTCATACGTTTTGTAGAATTCTGGAGGAATTTTGTCATAATCCCTGCAGCAACAAAATTAGAAGGCTTAAATTCTTTGAGGACAGTGACTACACTATCAATGCCTAATTATACCGTCCCATATTCTGCTATTTTTTTCTAGGCTGAATACATACGGAGACACTTAAAGTTGGCACGATTTTTTATTTAGACACCTGAACTTAGGGGTATTCCTTATGAGCACGTACATTATATGAACTTTGTTCCAATTAGGCACTTCTTGCTGAGTTGGCACATAGAGTGAGTTTCACCTAATATAGGCGCATGAAAAGCCCAAAAAATAGATTTTTTCATTTTTTTTTTGTATTTTTTATTTCCCGTCCTTTTTTATTTTTTAGTTCCAAATCTGTATTTGCTGCTCGTCGCTGCTGTAGGCGTCTACTAGGTTCAGGGGGCGCCGGCGGAACTGGGGTGTTCGTTGGTTGCTGCTGTGAGAAAGGGAGTGGGCAATCGCTGGGTGTTGCTGGTCGTTTTTAAGAAGAGAAGGTTGTTGTTTTGTGTGAAGGGAGTGGGCAATCGCTGGGTGTTGCTGTTTTGTGTGAAGGGAGGTGTGGCGGCGGTTTCTCGTTTGTGTGGAGGAGATCGTGGGCGGCAGATGGAGTTGGTGGTCGTTGTAGGCTGGTGCGGCTGACTGAGACGCTGATAGTGTGTAGGTTTTTTTGGTTGAAGATGGAGATGAGGGAGGGAGCGGCGGCGACGGATTTGATTTCAGTGGAGTGATGGTGGCGGCTCCGTTAAGGTTGATGGTGGCGTGGTTGTTGATGGCTCGTCGAAGAAGATGGATCGCCGGTTTTTTGGGGTCTGTCCAGCGGCGCTGGTTTTGGGATCTATTTTATTTTGTTACTAAATAGATTTTAAAATAGTTTTTTCTTTTTTTTTTTAAACTCAAAATGATATATATCCTTTTTTTTATTTGTCATTCGCCACGTCAGTCGCGAGTGCATTGCACACACTTTGTAAGTTTGGCTAATTGTCAAAAAAGTGTCTAATTGGAACAAGTTTAGTGTAGTATAAATGCTCAATAGGAACAACCTTCAGTTTAGGTGTCTAAATGAAAGATGGTGCCAACTTTAAGTGTCTCCAGATGTATTCCGCCTTTTTTCTAACATGCATTATATGTACCATTAATTCAAATCTGGACAGTAAATGAAATGCACGAACCTAACATATGCATATATATCCAGTCTCATTAAAAGTTTCTATTCAGAACAGATGGGATGAATGGCCGTGGAAAAGAAGAATGAAAGAGAAGAAATGATAGTTTAGGTCTTTTGTAATTGAGGGAACATAGTGTTGAAATTATGAAAAATTATAAAGGATAGGATAACAAAATACTTGGTCAAGCATAGATATAGATGTTAGGACAAAAAATCAAAGTTGGGGTTGCCCAACTTATGACTTTTAGCTTATTTTAAGAATTATTTTTAACTTACTTTAGCTTATTTTAAGTACTATTTTTTAACTATTTTATTTATTTTTTAATTTTGTATCAAATACGAAAAAAATTAAAAAAAACTTAAAAATTAGGTTGGCTAGCTTAAAAGTCAAGCCAAACATCCTCGTATTATTTAAATTATTGCTACAAAGGAAAGAAGTTGCTTGTTAGAATTACAAGTTATGTACCAGTATATAATAAATGTTTAAGATAGGGAACATACATCCAAACTCTCCTCGTAAAATTTAATGGCACGAAGTATTTACATCAAACAATATTAGCTTACTATAGTTAAGTGGTTTAATGAGGTGAAAATCTATATAATAACTAGCCATGATTAAGTTTAAAAAGTGCATATACAAACACATATGATGCAGTCTATTTATTTGGTATAAGTACTCGCAGGCAGATAAATTTTACCCAACTCCCACTCACGAATAGAATAGAAAGATATCAAAGACTGCAGTTGGAAACATGAAACATGAAGGATTATGTTCTATGCATTTTTCTTACCCCTTTTTTCATTCTTTTTATATGGCCACATTATGAAATAATTGAAAACTATACTACAAAAAATCAGTTCAAAACAGCTGATATTTTGACGAAAATTAATATAAGAAAGTATTCCAATTTGAAACATAAAATTATGTTTTTTAGAATGAGATTAATAAGTAATAACTATTCAGTCTATGCTAATCAGATCACTAGGGTTCCTAACAACCATCCCATTTGACCAGTTTGATTAAAATTTAACTACAAAGAAGTAAGAGTCAAAGACCAGAAGATGATTAAAGAAGTTGATCAAACTAATCATATATAAAACATCTATAAATAATTATTATCATAAGCTTAGCTTTTAACATGCCACTCCAGTTAAATAATCGTATTATTTTCAAGTGTTTGTAATATAAATTAGTTGGCCTAGTTGTCAAAAGTCAAGATGTTGTCATCATATCTCTCTCTCTATATATATAATCTACAAAATATTTCACGCTTTCTATTTACTTTTCCTTTGTTTCTTACTTTTCTAATTCGTGATTGAATGTGAAAATAGTAGTTTTTTTTTTTTGCAGAATATTGTTGTTGGAAGTAATTTTTCATCAGATCTTGAGGTATTTCATAAGAGATTAAATTTACCAGAGATTTAATTGAAATAATAAAATATCTTTGACCAATATAATCAAACTTTTGGGAGTTTGTTGTTTTAGGGAGCATATTTTCTAAAAATTGGAGGATAATTGCATTGTCTTAGAGGAAATTACAATGTCTTCTCTTTGGATTATAATCTCTAGTGTGAAATGTGTTTCTAAATTATCATACTATACGACATTATGACACGCATGTACCTCAGAGTTTCAACACTTAGTAGCATTAATATTTTTTTATTGCTATTAGTAGTATAGAATTTCTTCTAAATTTTGTGAGATACAGTTTGTATGGCAACATTTCTCCCTATTTTTCTTAAAACTTAGGTTTAAGAATATCCTCATTGTACTAAGAATATCTTGAATTTGTCCCGCCCATTGCCCCATTTAGTCCAGCCAATATTATTTAATTAAATATAGTATGCTTCGAAGATCAACAACTACGGCCCCGTTTGGCCATACATTTTGGCAATGTTTTTTCAAATTTTTTTTGAATACATTGTTTGTTTATTTTTGAAAATTTTCTGAAATTATTTTTCAAGTTCCCAAAATCTTAGATTTTGGGTGAAAACTTGTTCTCCCACTCACAAAACTTCAAATTTTTTTCAAATAAAATGCATGTCCAAACATAATTTCAACTTCCAAAAATTATTTTTCAAAACTATTTTAAAAATTATTTTTTCAAGTTTCAACTAAATCTATGTCCAAATGCTAGCTACAAAATGACGAGCTCATAAGGAAGAAAAATAGGAAAAGGAGACCGATGGATTGTAAGAAGACGATGGAAACTGAAAAAGACTTCCGATTTTTTTCCCCAACTAAATGCCATTTATTTAACACAAAAAATGAAAGATTAGTTACAGAAAATCTCTAAGTGGTGTTTGGATGAAAAACTTTTCAAAAAGATTAAAAAAAAAATTCCCTAAAAATATTTACAACACTCTTTGAATAAAAAAAATATTCCCTAAAAATATTTACAACACTCTTTGAATACACTGCAAAGTCTCTTAAAAAAAAACATTATATTAACAGTTAAGGAGAAAGTATCTGAGACTTAACATTAGGAGAAAGTATGAAATCGCAAAATACAGATGATACTACACATGTACGGACAAAATATTAGTACTTTATTTATAATATTGAGCAAAAAGTATCAAGATCGACAGAAAACAAATGATACTGCTCATGTACGGACTGAATATTAATACTTTATTTATTTAAGTGCTAGAATAAATCAAACGTGTTCAAATATACTAAAAGTAATATTGTATACTCGATTTTAATTAGTCCTTTTGCCTACTTCACTTTGTGAAGTGAAGACATGCTTACTTCTCATTTAACTCAAATCTCACCCTGTCGATTGAAATCAAACATATCTCTCTAAATTAATGAGCTAGCCTTTATCTTTTTCAACTAATTTTGAATTGATATATAGTTGCTGTTAAGAGGAAAACACAAAAAGAAAGTGAAGAAAATTACTGAAAAGATAAAAAGAAATTACTGAAAACATAAGTATTGGCCTCAGAAATTTTAACTACATCAAAAAGACTTCCTTAAACGGTGAAACCAAAGAGTATTTAACCACCTAAAACCAGCATATCCTATTTGAATATTCCTTTTATGCCAAATCTATTGGGGGTTGGGGGGAGGGGGGGGGGAGGGGTGTTCATGCTTGGAATATTCGTAGTGTATGCTAAAAGATTGAAAAAGATTTAATGTTTTTGGTTTAAACTCTTGGAAAATAATGCAAAGTTTATTAAAAAAAATATCATGATGACGTAACTTAATAGTTAAGGAGAAAGTATCGAGACTTAACAAGTAAGGAATAGAATATTTATAAAAGACAGATGGTACTGTTCATGTACGGACTGAATATTTGAGTGCTAGAATAAACGTGCTCAAGTATATTTTTATAATCGAATTTAATTAGTTTTTTTCCACTCTACTTTGTTTAGAGAAAACATTCGCACTTACTTCTAATATAACTCAAACCTCAACTTGTCAAATGAAATAACACATCTCACTAAAATAAGCTAACGTTTACCTTTTTCAACTACATTTAGAATTTGATATATGGTTGTTGTTGAGAGAAAACCCAAAAAGAAAGTAAAGAAAATTACTAAAAATATTTGTATGAATATAAATCATCATATTAAGGTAAAAATAAAATAAAATTATTTTTATATATAAAAAAAAAAAGCAACATTAGTGTCGGAACTGAAAATGGCACCACGAGACAACGAAGTCTACTACTTGAAACGGTCAAACCAAAGAGTATTTAAACACCGAAAGGCAGCATATCCTATTCGGATATTCCTCTTTTATGCCAATTCCTCCCTAACCCAGTGGGGGAATTCATGCTTCGAATATTCGTCGTGTATATGCTAACTTCTCACACCACACACCTCTCTCTCACTTTTATATATACCATTCTTTTTCTTTATTATCCTTCTCCATTTCTCACTCCATTTTTTCAATCATATACTTTGCCATAGACCATTTCTTGAAATTTAATTTTATATATTGGGTTTCCTGAAAAATCAATTCTTGAAACTTTTATCGTATTGGGTGTTTCAGAAAAATCAAATCTTGAAATTTTTCGGTGGGATCATGAAGTTCTGGAAAATATTGAAGGCACATATAGAGGAAACATTGCCTGAATGGCAAGACAAGTTCTTGAATTATAAGGATCTGAAGAAAGAATTGAAGTTGATTTATCCTAAAGATGGTGATAGACCTAATAAAAGACAGAAGGTGGATGGTGATGATTTGGGGGAGGTGGTTAAAAAGGAGGTGAATGATTTTGTGAAGCTGTTGGAAGAGGAGATTGAGAAGTTTAACAATTTCTTTATGGAGAAAGAAGAGGATTATATCATTCAGCTTAAGGTATCTTAATTATTTCCCCTTTCTATTCTTCAGGTTTCCTGTACATATTTCTGATCATTTTTTATGGGAAGCTTATTTGTTGTGTACCTTTGCCATGTTACTTTTGGTTAACCTATTATAGTTTGAATTTCTTGGGTACCTTTGCAATTAGGCAATTAACAATGAAATGATAATCAAGTCCTTTGATATTAGGTGTGTAATTGAGTTTGGGAATATAAGTTTAGCAACATGGCATGTTGTGCATAGATAATTGATATTCACCTAATGTAGGGTAATAGCCACGAGTTCATTCGTGCCAAGTAGCTTTAGCTCAGATCTTGTATGTGTTAAAAGTTTCATCAAATTAGTACAATAATAGATTTTGAACCCAGTAAATCATGTAGGCTGTGGTAGAATTTAGCTTGAATGCATACTGAATATATGCGTTTGTTGACCTATTTGGTTACATGATTAAGTGTTGGTTTTGCTTTGCTCAGACTTTTGCCCTGTTTGAGTTAATGCAAGAGACTGAATTGGTTTTTGCCTTTGCCTTTGAATGATTGCAGGTTCTGAAAGAGATGGTAGCTGAGATGAAAAAGACAAATGAAGAGCTGATTAGAGTAGGTAGGGACGTCGTGGATCTCCATGGAGAGATGGTTTTGTTAGAGAATTACAGTGCTCTTAACTACACAGGTACCACTCAATTGCTGTTTCTATTTTTGTTGGGTCAACAATGTTAACCAATGCCTAAAATAGGTTAATTGAGATGGAATTCCATGTTGTAAATGGAAATATTCTTGAACATGTTAACGTTCCACTTTCATTATGAGATTATGTTATTGCATCTTAAATTGTGGAAGCAATGAAAGAAAAGAGATTCTGACAGCTCGAGGATGCTGGTAGAGTGATGATAATTAGAAGTAGATCAGTTTATGTGAAGGATCTGTCAATTAACAAAAATTCTTAGCTAGTTTATTGTGTGCAAACGTGAGCTATGAGCTGTAAATTGTTGGGGCATGGCCTGTAATCTTGAATGAGTTTTATAAAGAATTTGGGGCATTCTAATCTGTAGAGCCAAGATTAAGAGTTCCTATCTAACTTTATCTCAGCTAAGCTCATTTGATCAAAATTTTTTATTTTATACGGCACGATGAGAGTCTATTGGTTATCTTAAGGCTCATTTTACAAGCTGATTGCTAATCAATCGCGAATTTGTGGCTCAATTTTTTCTGAAGAACTTATGGCTCCTTAAAACTTTAGATTTCTTCTTAGATGTCTTCTTCTTTTCTCATTTGTCGTCAACTTCATGCCAATATGATCAGGATAGTTTTTGCCATTTACCTTTAATGAATTTTTTATTACTATTAATGTGTATACTTATTATTTCCCTTTGTGAATTTTGCTGTCCACAGGAGTAGTGAAGATCTTAAAGAAATATGACAAACTCAGTGGTGATCTTATTCGTTTGCCTTTCATCCAAAAGGTGCTCGAGGAGCCATTCTTTAAAACTGAGGTTCTAAATAAACTAATAAAGGAGTGTGATACAATTCTTAGTCACCTCCTATACCAAACTGAGCCGCTTAAAGTCCCAGAAGCAGAAGAAGGTATTGCAGGAGGTAGCGGAGGAGGAGAAGGAGGTGGCGGAGAGAGGCCAGTTAAAGTTCCTGAAGAACTTGCAGAGATAAAGAACATGGAAAACATGTACTTGAAACTTACATATTCAGCACTGAGAGTCTTGCAAGAGATTCGTAGCGGAAGTTCAACTGTCAGCGCGTTCTCTTTGCCACCAATGCAGACTAACGAGCTTGACAAGATCTGGAAGAATACTCCAGTGGTCGAACAAGTAGCAAAGTAGTGGATACTTGTGTCTGTGACATGCTGTTTTTCCTTCTTTTTTCCAGTTAAGGTGCTTGTACATCTACATAGAAACAATGAGTGCAGTTTCCACTACTACAGTACCTTACAGCTGATATATTAGATCTCCAGTGTATCTTGTAGAGATGTTACCTGATAAAATATATATACAATCGTGACTCGTCTACAGCATTTGTAGTCCAGTGCTATTAGCTCAAGGAATTTTCAAGTTAAGCTAATTCTTCTATAGACGTTAAGGTTGTTGATTGTATTGGAGGCAGAATTTGATAGGTTTGAGGGTATTTGGGTAATATAGACATGCCAGCTTATCAAAGTGAACTCACTTGACAAGAGAGGGTTGCTCAAGTCGTAAGCACCCTTCACCTCCAACCTTGAGGTTGTAGGTTCGAGTCACAAGGGAGCAAAATAGAGATCTTAAGAGAGGGTTGCTCAAGTCGTAAACACCCTTCACCTCCAACCTTGAGGTTGTCGGTTCGAGTCACAAGGGAGCAAAACAGGGATCTTAGAGGAACTCATTCGGCATATATATATATATATATATATATATATATATATATATATATATATATATATATATATATATATATATATATGTGTGTGTGTGTGTGTGTGAACATTAAAAGTGTTTATGCGACAAGTGCTAAAATCCGGCCAGAAGCCATATGTAGTGGATAGTGAAAGAACGAAGGCATTGTAACTGGGAAATGAAAATGCTCCAAATACTGTAACAGTCTATACATACATGGCCTAGCGGAGAACTGGAAATTGGCATTTCTAGTTATATATAATATGGTTAAATTAGCAATTAATATAGGAATCTTCTGCAGATTAGTCCTTTGCATATTTTGTATAAGAGGTTAGGCTTCTGTCCCCCTCTATGTAATCTTTTGACTTATCAATGGAATTAATACACCTTCCAAAAAAAAAATTTTAAAAAAAAAAAGCAATTAATAAAGGCATTCTCAGTCTATGCGCTGGAAATTTCAGAATGATTTCTAGTTTTTATTTTTTCTCTTTTTTTTGTTAAAGCAAATACAGTAATAAATTTTAAAACAATTTTGTAATTTTTGCATTTCTCTATTCGATTCTCTAGATAATTTATCAGCTTTTTTCCTCTAAATAAATTACGGTATTTGACACAACCAATAGAGGGAGGGCATGGTCCCAAAATCTTTCAAGGAAAATAACGATTATTCAGTATTTTGAGAAATACAAATAATCTATAAGAAGCAACAACCAACAAAAGCGCCTGTAGCTCAGTGGATAGAGCGTCTGTTTCCTAAGCAGAAAGTCGTAGGTTCGACCCCTACCTGGCGCGATTTAGCTTTTTTTTTCTCTGTTCATTTCACAGGACTAGTTCACCAACTCCATCAGATGTATTTTCTTCCCCCACATTCCACATTCACTTCCTTTTCGTGAATATAGGCAGTTCTCCCTTTAAATTTCAAGCTTGATTGCAATTTGTATGATCTACCAACTATCCATCTTCTCATTTACCGATCATCTCCTCTACTTTTTATCCAACCATTAGTTCTATATAAATCCCAGAAAAATACAATACCTTCCAATCCATATTAGCAAGTGGTATCTAAACAAATCTCCAAAAACATGTCCATAGTTGCAGAAGCACCTGGTTACATCCAAGTTTTCTTCGATGGCTCAGTTAAACGATTCGAGCCTGAAATTGCCACTGCATCAATTGAACCATGCAATGGATACAAGTCCAAAGATGTGATCATTGATCCTTTAAAGCCAATATCTGGTAGAATGTACCTCCCTGATTTTCCTGAATCAGGAGTTATTAACCAGCAGCTTCCTGTTTTAGTCTATTTTCATGGTGGTGGATTTTGCATTGGCTCAACTACATGGCTTGGTTACCATCTTTTTCTTGGAGATTTAAGTGTTGCATCCAAATCTATCATCCTTTCAGTAGACTATCGTCTTGCACCGGAAAATAAGCTTCCTACAGCTTATGAAGATTGTTATTCTGCATTGGAATGGCTGATCAAGAACTTAGAAATTGAACCATGGCTGAAAAGGGCTAATCTTGATCAGGTTTTTCTTTCCGGGGACAGTGCTGGAGGCAATATAGTTCATCAGGTTGCTATCAGGGCGATTAGAAGTGAAGATTTTCGTGGTAGATTAAAGGGGTTGCTGCCAATTCATCCCTATTTCGGGAGTGAAACGAGGACTGAATTAGAGATGGCTAATGGATCAGAAGGAGACGTGAAGATGAACGACATGTTTTGGAGGCTTAGTTTGCCTCAAGGATCAAACCGTGATTATTTTGGATGTAATTTTGAGAATGCTGAAATGTCTGCGGCTGAGTTTTCTCAGTTTCCAGCAGTGATTGTTTTCGTTGCTGGCTCGGACTTTTTGATAGAAAGGGGAGTAAAGTATGCTGAATTCTTGAAAAAGAATGGTGTGAAAAGAGTGGAGTTGGTTGAAGCTGAGGGACAGGTTCATGTTTATCATGTGTTTCATCCTGAATCAGAGGCTACTCGTTTGCTTCAGAAACAAATGAGTGATTTCATACATAGTTTGTAGAATTGAAGCAATTTGAAGATAGTTTAGTAGTAAGAAGTGAAAATTGAAAATGGATCTAGAAAACAAGAGCATTTTTTTTCCTTTTTGAAAGAAAAATCTATCTAAAAGTTATTTCTAGTTTATGCACAGGTGCAACTAAAGTCTGCAAATGTCAGATGAAAACACAGTTACTCATTTTTATTGTATTGTATGGTAGTGCTGAGAACATCATAAACTGGCTAGATGCGACAATAAGTTCTGTCTACCTAACAAAACAGTTTAATTTTCATCGTTTTTCATCTATTTTAAGGGGCTCAACCCAACGATACCATCAAGCCAAGGAAGCGTAATATTATAGTTCTTCTGCTCAACTTGTTTGGGATTGACGCGTAGTAGTTATAGTTGTTGCTGTTGTATCAATACTGGCTTTTCTGGTTAAATTTACTTCCAACAGGCTAGGCGCATTAACAGACAAATACCAATATGCAGCAATATCTGATCTTTGTTAATTTCCTCATGTCTTCTTTGATATTGCAGTTTAAGAATGTTGAACACCATTTTGACAAACTAGATTAATCAGTAAACTTAACTTTTATCTTATGAACCACTTCAAGAATAAATAATTTCTCATCTTCGACAATAAGTACCTTGTAATAATTTCTAATTACAACATCTTCGAGTTTCCTGCTAGAAGCTGATCATGGGCGTCTGAGCACACTTCACCAGTCTCCCCATCAAGGAACTTCAAGGCTTCCATTGTTGATTCCCATCACTTAGTTCCAAAGCTGAGGCCACAGGCTATTAAAAGCATCGAATTTGCCCAACGTGCAGGTGCTTTTGTAAGCGTTAAGCAAATCAATCTTGCTGTAAAGATAAATGGTCTGTAGAGATTTATATAGATAGTTTTCCTAGAGAATGATGTAGAAATTTTTATCTAAAAGAAGAGAAAAAAAGAAAAATATTACTGGTTTCAGAATCTTGCAGAAAGTAGGGGCTAGAGTTTAACCGTGAAGCCTGCAACATTGTACTTCCTCGTTTCACTTAGATGAAGTAGTTTGACTTGACGCAGAATTTAAGAAAAAAAATACTTTTGAAACTTGTTAACTTATGATAAGTGGATAACAACCTCACATTCGCTTGGTTGGTGTCACGTGCTTTTTCAATGTACTGCGGAACTTCTATATATGATTTCTAATCTTTGATGTATGTTTACAGGTTGAAGCCTCAAGGGAAAAAAGAGTGATGCGCGTACCACATCGAAAAGAAACAGCAAATCCAGACTTTGTTCCAATATAAAAAAGGAAGCACTGGCTATCATAAAATTCACGCAGCCACGCAGTGAGCACAAAGCGAACTATTCTTTCGCCTTTTACTAAAGAATACCGTGTGCGCGCTATATTTAGTGGCATATGCCTATTTTTGGAGGGGTACTCTTTCTTGAGTTCCCTCAACAATTCAAGTATAATATTTAAAACTTGTTTTTTACTTATATTAAATAAATATGAAGCTTTGTGGTAATAAATATTTGAAGAGAGGTTTGAAATATGGAGTCAACACTATAAAGTACGTGAAACTAAAGAAAGAAAAATTTATGCAACCTTCTGTACAGTTGTCTACTCAACTACAAATTTTTTATTCTATTTTTAACAAGTATTATACTTCACTTTAGTAGATTTACTGGGTGCACAAAAGTGTGAAGAGATATAGAAAGATATTGGAGAGGCAAGAGATATAGAAAAATATTGGAGAGGCAGTGTGTCCGGAGAGGTTGTATTATTGTTTGTTTCTTTGATGAGCGAGTGAACCAAATGGTCGTTGTTGGTGAACGAGTAGAAACCAAACCTTGTTCATTGTTGGTGAGCGAGTGAAAACCAACCTTGTAAACGTTGGTGATGAACGTTAAAAATCATACAACTGTACTCAACCCAAATTACAAAGAGCTCAAGAGATAACATCATTGTAATCCAAGGAGACTGGATTAAAATACCACATTGGTTCCGAACCGGTATAAAATTCCCGGTGTCATTTACCTTAATATTTTTATATTTTATTATAAGACATTACTGTTTGTTGAGATTAGTATCTGATTGAATTGAAATACTAACAGTATTGTGCAGGCTGTCTCCGTATTAGTCAACTAGGTCTGAGGAGTAGTCGATTAGAAATTTAAAAAGGCTACAATTCACCTCCCCCCCCTCCCCCCCCTTGTACTTTCATTTGGTATCGGATCATGTATCACTTTTTTACTTTTGCTTAACAGCAAGTGAGAAAAGATCATGTCAGCACACACAGTTATCGGAGCCTTACTCCAAGAAGGGACTTCTGCATTAAGACCACCATACTTCAACGGACAGTATTACACTCACCGGAAAGTTTGAATGGAAGCTTTCATCAAATCTTATGATGTCAAAGTATGACGAGTCATCTAGAAGGGTAACTTTCCTCTCCTACAGTCAAAACTAGAAAAGAAACCAGAAAGACTGGTATCTACTGAAACCCTTTATATTGATGAATATACTGATAAGCATATGGCTATTGTGTAGATAAATTCAAATGCAAAAAATCTATTATACAATGCTATAAGCGGAGAAGAATTTGAGAAAAATATCAAGTTATGACACAGCCAAAGAAATGTGGGATAAACTTGAAGTTACCTATGAAGGTACCAGTAAAGTAAAAGAGACAAGGATAAACCTTATGATTCGTGATTTTGAGTTGTTTTTAACGAAGGATGATGGATCCATTGAAGACATGTTTGGCCGATTTAGTAAAATAGTTGGAGATCTAAAATTCTTTAGAAGACCATATTCAAGTGGTGAATAAGTCAGAAAAATTCTAAGAAGTTTACCCATTTTATGGCAACCAAAAGTTGTTGCTCTTGAATACGGATCCCGACAAACTATCATATGATGAACTTCGTAGAGACCTTATAGCCTTTGAGCAAACCCATCTCAAAAAGCACAGACATGCAGAGAAGAAAAAGAGTGTTGCTTCTAAATCAACTATTCCTGAGTCTGGAAGTGAAGACGAAGAAGAAGGAAACAAACATCAAGAGGATATTGCATTATTTTCTAGAGTTGTCTCTAACTCGACGCAAAGAAGCAAGAATAATAGAAGAGGGAAATCAAGTTCTAGAAAAGGCAATGAAATAAGTGAGCCTACAAATGCGGAAATTATGGCCACATCCAAGCCAACTGTCTAGAACCAAAAAGGGAACTATCTAGGGGCAATCAGAAGAGAAAATCTTCCAGCATATGGAGTGATGAATATATGCCAGATAAAGATCATAGTGGAACTGCCAACCTTTGTTTCATTGCACGAAGTGAAACAAGTGAAAAAAGAAAATCTTTTGGTGCTTGGAGTGATGAAGATATATCAGACAACGATAATGAGGAATCTACAAGCAACTGCTTCATGGCCCCAAGTAAAACAAGTGAGGTAAGATCTCATGACTGTGATAAATGTAATGAACTTTAAAATATCGTAGAACGGGCTTTAGAAGATATGAGAAAAATTCTTGAAAAGCTCAAGAAGACTCAACGGGAGAAGAAGAACTGGGACACCCAACTTGAATAATATAACAAGTTGAAAACGGAAAAGGAAGAGTGGGATATTCTATTTGAAGAATATCAGGTTGAAAATGACTTACTTCAAGAAAAAAATGCGGAACTTTGCAAATAAATGAATAGTTTGCACAAATCTTCCCATCATCATTTTGATCGACCGGACAAGCGGACTCATTTTCTTAATAATTCCAAGTTGATTGACAAGGGATTTACTAGTAGACGCCCTACTTCAAATAAGTCAGACTCAAAAAAGCTTCAAGTCATCTAAGCCCAAGGGATCTACTAACTAGAAATTTAAAAAGGGTACAATTCACCCACTTTCAGTAATCTCATATGATAAGTTGATAACAACCTCACATTCCCTTGGTTGGTGTCACGTGCTTTTTCAATGTACTGCGGAACTTCTATATATGATTTCTAACCTTTGATATATGTAGATTACTGGTTGAAGCCTTTAAGGGAAAAAAGAGTGATGCGCCTACCACATCGAAAAGAACATTAAATCCAGACTTTGTTCCAATATAAATAGGGAGGCACCGGCCATTATAGAACTCACGCAGCCACGCAGTGAGCACAAAGCGAACTATTCTTTCGCCTTTTACTAAAGAATACCGTGTGCGCGCTGCATTCAGTGGCATACGCCTATTTTTGGAGGGGTACTCTTTCTTGAGTTCCCCCAACAATTCGAGTATAATATTTAAAACTCGTTTTCTACTTGTAATTTTTTGAGAGGATTTCATGTTTTTAATTTTTTACACCAAATCTGAGAACAGAGAAGTGATTTATTTCTTTTTTACAGGAAGGATGACATTCCAGATTCCACTTGGAACAATATTTTTTGTTTCAAGAGTTATGATATCAATAGGAAAAAATTGAAGCATCAAATATATGTGTTGGTTGACTGTTGGACGATGAACTATACATAATTTAACACTCAATAGTTACATGGATACAGCAAAAATACCTATTTTAACATAGTATTATCAAAAGCTTAAAGAAGATACAACTAACGTGTTGTATTGGGATCAAAAAGCAAAATTAAAATGGGACAACGACAGATACTATGTTGATCCTTTTCCGATATGCCATAGGTGTAGAGATTGATGTCTCATGTTTCTTCTGTATGAGCTGAGACAGTCATTATCTTCAATTATGGGCTTATGGTTGTTAACCCCTATGATAACTCCTTGTGATTGCCAACTCCTTCACATTTAGTCTAAATGTAATATATCCTTAATTAAGTAACTATTTATTCATTAAAAATAAATGCATGATCTCCCTCATCGGCTGACACAAAAAAAACTGAGGATCAGAAGGTGTATAAAACCATAGAGAGGAGCTTCAAGGAACATACTTACCTGGACGGGGTCGATGGGCAATCAACAAGGTCCATGGCCTAGGTTGGTGACCTCCATTGCACTTTGGAGGGGTGCCCGCCTAAGGTCGACCCAAGTGGTCGAGCCTGCGTCATAATTTGTGGCAGCGGGGGCCTGCGTTCGCGCGGCCCCTACCCAACTCTTAACCAAAAATATTGGGTAGCTTATGCACAGTTTGTCAAAGGCGATGGTAATGTTGGAAGCATTCATGCAAACTTTGGCCTCTTAATAGAACAGGCAAATTGCTGAATGCAGAGATAAGCAATGTCTCGTCCTGTAATGTTTATGTTACTCTTGAATCAGCATCTGTAGCTAAAGGTAACAACATACAAGGACATGATGTGCAACAACAACAGTGAAGGCTTTGTTTCTTTATTTACTGTTACATACTAATTAAGTGGAGCACTTCTTTACTTTGGTCTTTCATGTATTTATAGATTATATTTAGAGAAAATTGGCTTACTTAAGCATAATTATGACGAGAAACAGATATAGAAGTAAGTACTAATTTTGAAAAGAAATTATGTATTCTTAATCCTAATGGATTCTTGAGCAATTAGGATCCTTTCCTTCTCTTTTGTTTTTTTATTTGATATGTTTTAGACTCAAACTTGAGTATCTATTGTTGAAAAGTTCCTATTAATGTTCTTGTCAGTACTGAAGTAAAGCAAATTAGGAGTACTGCATGTGTTGTGTCTGTGTTGCTTATGTACTTTTTATTTAAAACAATCAATATATACGATGATCACATTATATATGATATTCTGCACTTTATGGGTGTTGACACAAGTAGGCCTAGGGCAAGACAAGACACCGTCCTTCACTCTCCAATAGCCTGACGGCTCTTCTCTTCACAAGTAGGCTTGGTGCAATGCTTAGTCGATTTTCAAAGCTGGAAAAGATGCAAGAAGACTGACGAGGAGCTGGAGTCAAAGTGCCTATGGTACCAGTTCATATTTGGTTACTCGAAGCTCATGTAGAGGCTGGGACGTCTAACATAATACTTTAGAAAAGGCGGAATTGAAGGGAGGATCTATTATCTCTCTACCCAATTGGAGCAGCGGGAATGTCTTCACCACCAGATATTGCATTAAGAGCTTCTATTGCATCAACGGTGAAAATGGAGAGCAGGCTCGGAAAATAATAGCTTGACCACTTAGGCTCTTTGCGCCTAAATAAATAGTAGACACGCAAAAAAATAAGACGCGAAACTTATAGAGTCGTAGCCTTCTAAGACTTTCTTCTCCAACACACTCAATCAATAGGTTGAGGCAATCAACTGAAAATCGACCAAAAGGACCTGTCAAGCTTTAGAAGTCAAAGCATACATCACATATCATCATGCATAGCTTAGTAGCCAAGAACAAGAGAGCTACAACACTAAGGTATAAAAGAATGATGAATTAGATAAATTTTACAAACTATGGGAACAATTTTGCTTCCTTTTCATAAAGCAACATAAAGGACAAACATAGGACTGTTAGAAGTTCTTATTAAGAAATGTTCCTTTCATATGTGGCTACCTTTAAAATTTATTCATCCCCTTTATATGTGGCTACCTTTAAAATTTGAGATGGCTAAGTTATACATCAAGTATTGTGTGAGGTGCAATAATGGCCAATTTGGCACAAAAATGACGTATAAATTCTTCCCAAAATTGTTAGGTGCAATAGTTTACCAAGAAGATGCCTACAATATTCCTCTTGCTGCATGTCTTTTCTCTTTGTTTCTTTTTCCTTCCCTTTGACTGTTTCCTTTTGTTGGTTTTCCAATTATGAAGAAAACCTTAGCAAATGGATTCTTAAGCATCACAGCTTCTTTTCTTTTCTTTCCCTTTGACTGTTTCCTCTAGTTTTTCTAGTGACCTCCTTTACAAACACCTCTAACCAGAGTCTAATGTGCAGCATAAGACTATCTCAAGAGTTTCCAAGAACAGAGTTGTCTCTCTTTACTGTGCTATCAAACTATAGCCAACAAGCCATTCTTCCTTATTATGCACGCGTACAAGAGATTCTTTATACAGTCAAACCTCTCTATAACAACCTTATTTGTTCAGAATATTTTTTGATGCTATAACAAAGTGCTATTATAGAGAACATATATTATAACATAACATGAAATTTGGTTCCGGAAAAACTTGACTTTTATAGTGAAGTATCGTTTATATAGGGACGCTGTTATAGAAATATTTGACTGTAGTATAAGTTCAAGTTGCGAAAGGTATCAATAGACAGAAGACTACTTTTTATAGTGTAAGGTTCAAGTTGCAAATGGTATCAAGAGACAGAAGACTCACTTGGTGACTTCACTTTCAAGAGTGACATAATGCATCACCAGTGTATCTAACATGGTGCCATTGAAAGAGCACATTAATTCAATAAACAATAGAAACTAAGAACAAAATAAAAGTCTAACAATGCCAAAGTTTGCCCTATCTTCACCCAATCTCCTCCCATGTGGTTGTCCATATGCAGATCTACCTCCAACGTGTTACATCATCTTGTACCGGATATGAGGGAATGTGTCCACAGATCCCTCCTCAACAGCCAGCATCTCCCCCCAACCCCCCCCC